CACAATGTCAACTCACATATTCCCTCCAAGTTGTGTCACAAACTCTAAACCCTGTTGTACCACAGTCGTCTCACATATGCCCTGCTGTAGCACGACGATTTCGTGCTTTAGATTCACATCTTTCTCCTTCCGATTTACTACCGTATCATGGATTTCTGGTTGCACATTATCCTCAAAGCTTTCGATTCACCAGGACCGGCTTTAAATGCCATGTCCTAAATATCTGAAAAACCTTCTCATGCAATATTATTTTGCTTCGCACAAGCTTAGTTAAAAAAAATGGATGTTTTATAGAAAATTAAAAGTTTGCAAATTATTTGTATATTTATTTATTTATTTTCATGTTTGATGGTGCGTCTCAATGAATACGTCTCATTAAGGGCATTTTTATCTCAAAATCTAATGTGATGGTTAAAAATAGTTAAAATTATCTCGGTGCTTATTTTTAGAAATACTTTATTTTTGAGGGTTAAAAAAAAAATCCCTTCACTTTAAATATAAATATATTTACTTTTTATTTTATGTTAATATTATAAAAATTATAATTTATAAGATTATTAATTATGTTTGAGATATTTTTTTATTATTTAAATTAAATTTTATTAATTTTGTATTTTTATTAATTTAATTATTAATAAATTATATAAAATATATAAAAATATTATTATATATAGATTTATATATAGTTTCGAGTTTAAATAATTAAATATTTATGAATAATATTTTAATAATTTTTGATATAATTGATTTTTAAATTATAAGACGGTAAGAATATATTAAGGTTAAGGTTAAGGTAAAAATTTTTAAAAATATTCATATAGATCGTAGGGTTCGGATTTCTTATAGAGTTAGGATTAGCCAATCCTAACCGTTGACAACCATGACCAGTATTTGTGACCATAAAGTCCGAAGGATGGCCTTCAACATGAATTTTAGATTTTGTTTTCTCCTTTTCTTGCTCTTCAATCCAAACTCGAAGTCGAAGAGTGCAAATGGCAGCCTCAGCGATGGTGGTGGAACCTAAACCCTCGGCGGAGCCGCCGTTACCCAGCACAAGATCCGACCTTGGGCAGGCCTTGGCGGTGGATCCCAATTGTACCGAGGAGGACGATTTGTACAGCAGGCTGAAATCCCTCCAGAGGCAGCTGGAGTTCATAGACATC